GCACACACACACACACACACACACACACACACACACACACACACACACACACACACACACAGAGTTCCACAGACAGGCACACGAAGCCGCACAACGTGTTGCATAGCCGCTCAGTCAGTTCGGCAATCCGGAATAGCACGGTTCGACAATACGTGACCAGGGAGTTCTGGCCGTGGATTATAGATAATCGAAGGGCCAAAAACGAGAAGCAATAGAAACGCCCGGTGGTGAGAGGGAGTTTCTACCCGTGAACAAAGACGAATACGGCCCCAAGAAAGAGAAGCACTTGAGTAAGCACGACCCATCCAGAATGTCGTACAGAAGTGGCTCTCGTTCGTCTCGCCACACTGTTGTCTGTGGCCGTACGTGGTGCAGATTATCCGCCAGGACCTCAGACATTCGCTAAAATAGGACGAGGTCATGCTAAAGGGCAGCTACACTCCACCTCTCCACACACAATCACACGCACACACCGAGAGAGAGAGAGAGAGAGAGAGAGAGAGAGAGAGAGAGAGAGAGAGAGAGAGAGAGAGAGAGAGAGAGAGAGAATGATTGGTGCAATTTGTACCGTTGATCCCGGAAAGGGACGACTGAAATGTGGATGTTTTTTGTTGGGTTCGAAAGCGTTACGAGCAAGGAGGCCTCTTGCCCACAAACACAGGCATCAGGATAGAGTAGGCCGGGACAGGGCAAGCAAGGGAGGTCCGGGTTCGAGCCTGCGTCCCGACCCGGTTTCCTCCACCCTGCTCTCCCCTCTCCACTTCCTTTGTCTTGGCGGACTGATGTCTGTCGTTTCGCGTAGATAAAACCAAGCGGAGCCATTGAACCTTCAGCGGGTGTGCATCTTCACGAGTAGCTGCGAAGCTCTAAGGAGTTCAGTCTTCCTAGAGTCTCTCCTGTGCAGCACATTCGCTCGAGCTTCGAGCCGTCGTCGTTCGTGCTAGTCACTTCTAAGCTTTCGAGATGGCGGCACTTGCTCAGTCTGCTGCTGTGGCAGCTATTTCCAGCGCCCCGGTTGCCTCCGGCGCTGTTGCTACCTCCAGCAGCAAGGCTCAGAGCAATTCCTTTGCCTTCAATGGCCTCAAGAGCGCATCCACCTCTCTGCAGGTTGCCCAGCCCAGCGAGTGGTCCTCCAAGACCGTCTCCAACAGCACCCGCGTGGAGCTGTCTCTTATACACATCTAGATGTGTATAAGAGACAGGTATTGGAGAAATTGGCTGAGGTCAATAGACGACCCAAAGACGACCCTGCTCTGCGGGCATACGCGGACACGTTGTTCGATTTATTGCAGTCAA